GTTTTAGAGTACTTTCAAAGTCTAAAACCCCTTGAATTGGTAAAACTCAACGAGTAAAGCAAAAGAGTAGAGTAGAATTGGAAGTTTTGAATATGGTCTCATTTTAATGTTTGTTTGGGTAAAACATTTATGGTCAAAGGGGACCACGGGGTTGTAAGATGGAAAAGATGAAAACCATTTGTTTACAAGTAATATTTTCAATTTTTAAATCTAATAAGATATAGAAGTTAAAAATAAGAGATGAAAAGATATTTTTTTAATATTATAACTATAGAATATATGTATTATTATAATAATATATTAAATATAAAATATTATAACTATAGAATAATTTCATTATTCTAAGACGTGAAACAAAAAGAGGGGATGAGGCACGTGCCCAATGCAAAAGCTAGCGTTCACGTATCCTTGCATTTGCACCTATTGTTAGTAAACAATCCCATTTTATTTATTTTTTTTTTTTTTTGAGATTAGTTCATAAATTGAAGAAGTTACGTCATCAAATTTGCGGCCGTAAAAGTTCTTTTTAATTAAATTTTACCAAAAAAAAAAAATAAACAGCCTAAAATCTTTTTCGCATCCAGCTTTATCTCTATTTGAAGTCCTAAAAATTCTTCTCCATTAAATTTTTCCCAAGAGAGTATATAGACAGTATTCTCAAGTAGGAGCATAAAGTCTTTTGGCATCCATCTTTATCTCTAACTCCAATTTAATAAAATAAGAAAATGAAATAAACATAATAAACTAGAGCCCTTTACAATGCATGTGCAGTTAGATAGTGAATTTAAAAAGACTTAAAAACGAGATACCCTTCATGCTTTGCCCATAGAAAGAGATTAGAAAAAAATACTTTATTTGATTAATAATTGCAAAGAAAGAATTTCATCCACTGTGCTTTATAATTACAAACCCAATTCTATTCACAATTAATTAATTAGGTTTAACAACACTCAATTCGTTAGCAACATAGAAATCTTTCCCATGTTCACAAGGGTCGAATTACTCTATACACGTGCGATTCCCCAGCTATGTAGTTCACATGTATGAAGACTGATCCAGAAGTGCAAAGTCGGCTTCAACAGGCCGAATCTGGCTGTCATCTCCAGACTCGCATCTAGACCACATGTTCAATGATTCCCACGATTGGAAGAGCTTTGATAATCCAGCCTGTCCAATCAATGAGCAGCAAGATCGGAAGATCTTGGCTGTCCATTCTATGACCAGCATGCTCGGTCAATCTAGACCGTCCATTCAATAGCCCCCGAGATTGAAAGACCCAGGCTGTCCACCAATGATTTCGATAAAACTTATGACTCGGCTCGGGTCAAGACTTCAAGGGGCGATTGGCTTGGCAAGAGCCGGGTCCAGAGCGAAGTTCAATAGCGCTCTAGAGCCACGCATTTTATACGCGGCTTGGTCGTACGCCAGAGCCGCTTCCTCAGCCGTGTTAAACGTACCCAGCCAAATCCTAGCACCGTGGCGAGCCGAGTCACGGATCTCAGCCGCAAACTTACCCCACGGTCTCTCTCGTACCCCCCTGTAATGTCTCCCCTTTTTTAGACCCGACGGCTTTGAACTCGGAGCCGGGTTTGATGCTCTTGAAGCTGGACCCGAGTCTTTTACATTTACGGCCAATTCCTTCATAGGCGTAGCTTTGCCTTCCACAGATGAGCCCGAGTCTTCTGAGGCAAGAGTCGAGACGTTTAAAGTGTGAGCCGACTTTTTTGTACTCGAGTCGATTTTGAGAGAGGCCGCTTCTTCTAATATGCCGTACAAGACCATTTCGTCCGAGTCATTTACATTTAAGGGAAGCTTATCCCAATCCCCTGAAAACCAGGGGCCAAGGCAAAAACTCGAACCGGTTTCCTCTCCAATCGGACTCCTGAACCGAAAACCGGACTGGAGACCGGTTTTGTTGGGCAAGGATACCGAATCCGATGCCTTAAACCGCTTTTTCTCCTCAACCCATCCCGGAAAGCGGCACACTGGCCGGTTTCGACCACCCGCCCTGGCTCCCAGCCGGTTTTGGCCAGCTTCCGGCGCATGCGTTAACGATCCTTGAATACCCGGCAAATCAATGGCCAGCGCGCTCTGGATGAATCTCTCCTCTTCCTCCTCGTCCTCCTCCTCGAGGCTGCTCTTACAACCGGAGTCCGAGTACTCGGATCGCCGCTTTTTGCTCGCAGAGAAATTTTCCGGCAAAATATGGGAGGATTCCGGCGAGAATTTGGAGGATTCAGGGGAGATATGGGAAGACTCCGGCGAAAAGTGGTTAGATTCCAGCGACGTTTCGGCGTCAGTGATAGAAGAATCAGGAGGCGAGTTGGCCAAGAAAGGGAATGAGGGATCGTCGCTCTCCTCAAGTAAATGGTGGATTATGCGATCCAGGGCCGAATTCATGGTAACGGAACCCTAACTGATATCTATCCACCGTCAAATAGCAGGTCGAGACGATGACGGCTGATCTAAAGGAGAAGAAGAGAAATAACGGTGGCGATAACGGCGGTTAAGTCGAAGAGCAACGAAACTTCAGAGATAACGGCAGGCAAGGGTAGATACTCGGAGCAATTAACGCCGTTTGCAGGAGAACCAGGGGTTCAGGGGACTGTAGAGTCTAGACAGCCGTAAGGGAGATGAGGGAGAACGTAACGGCAATGAACCAGAGCCGTTTAATGCTTTCCCTTTTAGGCTTCCGAGCACAAAGCGGAGGGGGGTTCTATATATAGAGGTAAACGGCTGAGCTTGCCGTCAAGTAACGGCGGTATGTAAAAACGTGTGAGAATATAGGAAGCGGGTTCGACAATTGGCCAATTATTTTGACTTTTTATTATTTTAATATTTTGTATATCTGGATTTTTGATATTTTGATTTTTAAAATATTAGATTGGAGGAAAAAGTTTATAAGGTTACAACCTTATACTGTATAATTATGGTGCACCACAAAAATCAAGTAAAAAAGAGAGTATTATATCGACCTCGAGATATAAAAAATAATTTCAAGTCTTAAAAATTGTGCATCTTATAATAAGTTATCTAGACCATATATTTTCAAGATTTATAAATGTCAAGAGATATGCTCGATTATGTTATTCTTTGAAATTTAAACTTTATAATTAGACTTGAACAAAGATTTTCAAGCCATAATAAGGTTTCCACAATAGAACTACATCTTTCTGCATAATTTTAAAATGTACTTTATTGATATAATATAAGATGGGCATCTTATACAAACCTCACCCATTTGCTATTGAGCAGGTGCAATATATTCCTATACGAGTATATTTAAAAATTTACTTCATCGGGCAAACACTTGGGATATTTTTTTATTCAAAATTTTGAAAGCCATCTAATTATAACTAGATTATTATTTTCAAAAAAATAAATTGAAAAGAAATTTGGACTTTGAGAGCTCAAACATCTAGATCATTCTCTCAAAAAATTGAACATTTATGCTGCAATTTTGGAATGCGTTTTTTTGAGGCACATAAAGGGTAAGACTTATACTTTTTTTGTTTGAGGTCGATTACCGACCATATCCCAAAATTTGGCATCTAAAAGATGAATCCTATTATTAGTTTTGTCCGAGAGAGCATATGAATAGTATTAGCCCTGCAGGTGCCGGAAAATCTTTTGGCTTGTTATGTATTTTTAATTGTAGTGGATGGGATTTCCCTCGTGCTTGCACTACAGCGATGACGTGACGGTATGACGCCACTGGTGGCCACGGTGACGTCATCGAATTTGGCTTTGCATTCGCACGTTCGTACGCGTGGCAGGTGGTAGTGGATGAGGTACGTAAACCCCCATAATTTAAAATACAGATATATGATGGTTTAAACAAAACAGTTTTAGATACCTAACCCCTAATGAATCAAAATAATTTTTTTTTGTTTTTATTATAATTAATATTAACATAAAGGTCTAAACATACGTACATCTTTTGACAGAACAAATTTACAATGACGAATTCTTACAAAGTAACAAAAAAAAGTTTAAGCACAACTACAATGTCTTCTAAAGTTGATCTTGACGAGCACTCAATATAAAATCGCAATTATCCTGAAAAAAATGTTTATTATAGTTTGATGAGTTTGGCTACTCAGTAAGTGATCATCAATCCTAAAAATAATCATGGTTGAAAGATATCGATATTTTAAAAAAGGAGATCTATTAACAGAAATGCGTC